AAAGAATAAAATTACTTTCTATTTAAATTTTTAAATACTCTAGGTGCTAATTCTGTTCCTAGATTACTCGTATACGGGAGAGCAAAAATATAAATTAATATTATTTTTATTTTCAAGTAGAATGTATGTATATCAGAATATAATAATGAATGAAAATATAGTGTTTAGCACTTTCATTATTTTTTACAAGGATTCTTCAATTATCAATATTTTAATATTTGTTAATATTTCATGAAAACAAATCGTATAAATCACTTCTCATTTTGAGCTTCTCTGTTTTGGCAATCATACGGATATGCATTATGAAAGGATATTTTTTTCTCAAAAATTGTAAAAATTCAAAGACATCCAATATTCAATAAAAATAAGTTGAAAATTCAATAAAATGGATTTAAGTGAGATTTTGTAAATTTTTTTTTCAAAATTATGTCGCGAACATCTTTGAAAAAGAAATAAACTCAAGATCGTCGAAGTAGAAACTGCAATAATAAATAAATTGTTGTATAATTTTTTTCACGAAGTTATAACGTCTCATCAAGTACACAAAGGATTTTATATAACTGACTGTATCTATTTCGAGAAATTACTCAAACTGAAAGATTAACAATCTCGAAAATGATAAAACTGCATCTTGCATCTTTCGAAACAGGTGTCGGCTACTCTCTGAGCGTATCTGGAAACGACGGTCGCCATCCTAACGTGGTATCAAAAGTCACCGTGGAATTCCTCGTTTTCACCAACAGCACGATCGAAAATAGCGTGACGCTGCAAGTAGCGAAATTAAACGCCAGGGATTTTTTAAGCCAGTATTATCGCGCGCTACTGGACGTTCTGCAAGAAGAAATCGACGTTGGAGACATTCTTAAGATCTTCAGTCTTGGAGAGGCCGGATCTGACCTGAATATCCACCTGGCAGTAGAATCGCCCCAAGGTATTTGAAAATGAGAAACAATCGGTAAATAAATAGACTGCGGATGTTAATGTCATTTCGTGACCTTATATGAGTATAATTCATTTTTCCTTGCTGTGATCTTTGTATTTTTATATTTCAATCTGGCTCTTATTTACATAGTAAATAAAAAGGAAGTTGCATAATGTCTAATATGATATCGATAGCTTGACATTGGCAGAAAGAAAAATTTAGATTGCTTGAAATTGCTTAACTCTGGGATTTTCAACTTGATTTAATTTTAGTACTAATCTCTGTCAGAAAGAATGTAAAGTACAAAATAAAATTAGATTAGCAATAATTGAAAAACAAAAACATTACTAGATCGAGAAAAGGAGTCTGAATGGAAATTTATTTCATTTACTAACAAAAGTATTGCGACAGGAATTCTACTTTGAACGTACTGCATATTTTTTGTAGAGTCTTAAATATATCCCAAAAATGCATAAACATCCGCAAATCTAAGTAAAGTAAAATTCGAAGATATTCAGAAATCGGACGATCCGAATTCGAATAATTGAAATTCACGTCGCGCAGGATACCGTAGCAAGTACGAGGTCACCGAATTGTTAAACCGTAATCGCGACAAAATTCGATCGCTCCTCGAGGGAACGACCTTCACCGTTGGCTACTCGCCGTGCAAGCAAATACCTTGCGAGAACGGAGGCTCTTGCAGCGACAAGTTAGTCATCTACGACGACGCCAGGATCACCGACAGCCAAGCGCTAATCCTCACGTCGCCGAGAATGATGCACGAAATGACCTGCAAGTGCCGCGATGGCTTCACCGGCGACAAATGCGACAGAAGACAAGATCCTTGTTCTCCGAATCCCTGTTTACTGGTAAATATCCCACACGAAATATCCCAATTGTCTAGTAAGACAGTCTACCTTATCAAATATAAGGTGAGCCGAAAATCATTTCCTACTACACAGAAACAAAATCATGTTTGAACTTAAATTTAATTTAAAATTAGTAAAATTAGCTTTCTCTTATATTTTTATCTTAGTCCATTAACTCTCGAATGGACTCTTCTATTTTTAGTTTAAACAGTTGAAGCTTATGTTTTTGTATCGAATTATGGTAAAAAGAAAAGAAATTTCCATCGGCAGTGTTAGAAACATAATGAGATGAAGGATTATATAAATTTTTCATATAATGATAAAAATTGTATTAACAGGTGATTTAAAATTAAATGAGATTGCTGAGTTTCCAATGGTCTGTTTAAGGATTAAGGATCTAATACTGTCTTGATGAGGACATTTCACTTGCAATTTATTTTCAATTTTAAAAAATTTCAAGAAATCGAAGTATTCGTAATATTTGACAATTTAATCTTTAATTTATTTATATATAATTTAGAATTTGTAATATCTACAACATTATATAACTCATTACCTGATCTTTAATACAGTCTCTACCAGACCATTTTAAACGTATTTACAAAGATATCTCTCTCCTTTGAGAAGTTTAAGAAAGAAGAAATCATCCTCATAGTTCGATAAGCCCAAGAAGTCAATATTTAAAAAAAAAAAAATATTGAAGAAAATCTTTTCTATTGAAGAATAAAAAATCAAGTGATTAGTCGATCGTTGATCGTTTCGTTATTTCACGACTTTCAGGGAGGACAGTGTCGACGAATGGGATACGATTTCCAATGCACCTGTCCGATCGATCGCGAGGGAAAGCTATGCGAGCTGGAGAGAGGCGATGCTTGTGCGAGCAACCCCTGCAGAAACGGTGGATCGTGCAGAAAGAGTCCCGACAGCTTTAGCTTCTTCTGTTTGTGCCGAGCTGGCTACAGGGGAAATCATTGCGAGGCAATTACGGATTCTTGCAGGCCGAATCCTTGTCTCTATGGAGGTTTATGCGTGGGAGAGAAACCTGGGTAATTTTCATTTCCATCGACACTCAATTAAGTCAAAGTAGACTGGTTACAACTAGATTATGTCAATTAAGTCAAAGTAGACTGGTCACAACTAGATTATGAGTCTGGACAATAGGTGCAATTCGATTAAAAGAGTAATATTTCTGTTAACGTTTCTAACTTTTACAGTGAGAGAATGTTTCTCTGTTGTTAATTCGAGCCGTCCTCTACAATTTTTATTTTTATTTTCTTCTGTTTCGATTTTCGTTATTCTTTTATCATCTTTTTTTTTTCACTTTGTACGTCTATCTTTATAAATCTATATCTTCTGCAATCTCATTTTTCTATATATTTCCCAATTTACTACAGAACCAAGACCTAAATATACTAAATATACTAAATACTAAGCACACAAGTTAATTATAATAAAAGATTCGTCTGACGATGAACATCGAATTTAGGTACAGGTGCAGTTGCCCAGAGGGTCGTTACGGAAGACACTGCGAACGATCCACGTTTGGATTCGAGGAACTGTCTTACATGGCTTTCCCGGCCTTGGACTCCAACACGAACGACATAACTATCGTATTTGCCACTACGAAACCAGACGCGTTGCTGCTGTACAATTACGCGCCACAGGCGGCAGGACGTTCGGATTTTGTCGTGTTGGAATTGGTGGACGGGAGAGTGGTATTTTCGTACGGAGGTGCAAGAAGCGCCATCACCTCGATCACCATAAAAACGGAGAGCTCCGTGTCGGACGGAGAATGGAGGAAGGTAACGGCAACCAGAAACGGAAGGGTAGTATCCCTGAGCGTGTCCACGTGCAGAGAACACGGCGACATTTGCGACGATTGCAAACCCGGTGATGGCACTTGTTACGCGGACGATGTCGGACCAACCGGGTTAGTGTCACTAAAAATTCCCTTTTTTTCTATTCTTTTTTGCAGCTTGAGTTGAAGAAAAAAAAAAAAACTTTCTTCTTAACTCCCCCGTTTCAATTTTGTGAATCTGTCGATAATTTAGATTTCTGTAGCGTTTTTCGTAGCTGTCTTTAATCACTTCGTAAC